AAAAAAAAAAAAACTGCTTGAAATCATTTTAAACTTACCTCGTTATCGCTGCTCGCTCCAGCGCCGAGAATCAGGAACTGCTCGTACGGCCGCAAAGGATCTTGGGGCAGGCCCATGCGCAGTTCCGATTCTCGGCCGGGAGACGAGCAGAGACGCAAGGTAAGTCTATGGACGCGTGCACCCGCCTGCGGACACCGCTGGATCGGAGTGACATCGCACCGCTGGAGGGACACATGAAAACATGGGGAAAGAAGAGGAAGACCAGAATAAGAGACATCATTTAAGGTAAGTGCTAACATTTACATGTGGGGGAGGGAAACAATTGTTTGCCTTTTTAATATCACTTTAATAGCTCAACAGGGGGATGAACATTAAGTTCATAACTGGGGGAGTAGGCACATGCTGCTTTTTTTCAGGCTTCCAACTCCTTTCATTTCTGGGCTTCTCCTTTCTTATAAATATGATGGTACCCATAGACCACTGCCATGATTAAATTAATGATTGACAGTACAAGTTTTACCTGCAGCTATTTTGGCCCCCCCCCAAAAAAAAAAAACTTGTTTGCATGGGAGGTGCGAACTTGGATTTCTTTTTTAATCCTGCATGAAGATGGGAGATTTACATTTTCATGATGCTTCATGGAGGGGTGTGGAAGGAACTCTTCAATGATATTTCATGGAGGTGTGAGGTAGGAACTCTTCAGTGATGCTAGAAGGAAGTTTGACATTGGAACTCTTCCATGTTGCTGCTTGTGATGTAGAAACTCTTTCTTGGTGCTACATGGAGATGTAATGTAGGATTTCCATCATGATTCCTACGTGGAGCAAACTCTTCCATGATGCTAAATGGAGATGTGTGGGAGAAACTCTTCCATGATGCTGCATGAAAATGTGAGGGAAGAACTCTTTTATGATGATATATGAAACTGTGAGGAGAAACTATTCCATGAGGCTACATGGATATATAAGAAGAGAACCCTTTCATTATTGTACATAGAGTTGAGACGTAGGAACTAATGATGCTACAATAAAAGGGCTTCAGTGGACTATACATTACCAGGGATGACAGAAGCAGGAAAATTGAAGGGCATTTTGACTCGCGTTTCAGCTCTCCTTTTCAGATCAAAATAGGTATTAACATTTCTATCCCTTTTTATAGTGTACATGAATTCCCGAACATATTTGCTCATATACATCTTTTAAGTGTTAGTATTAGTATTACAAAGTAGAATTTTTGACTTGGAACTATATTAACATTCTACTGTATGAATGTTGTAGTCAGGAAATGATTAAACTGCACATCTTGTGAATTATTTGTCCCTGCGGTGTGTTACATGAAATAATATTAATCAACTAACAAGGATACAGCGTAGATAAAAACTGATGACATACTACTGAAAGCTCTTTATTA